CTCTGACCCAGACAGCCTTACTCTCAGATCAGCTGTAACCTGCAGCCTGCAGCCGCTTGCCCCATTCATAAAATGGGGATCTAAGGCACAGGCTGGGACATTCAATAGCCCTGGGTCCCTGACTAAGGTAGTGAGTTCCAGGACACTTCCTCTGAACCATGGCCGGGTGGCTCAGTTGGTTAGAGCATCCTTCCAATACACTAAGGTTGCCAGTTCAATCCCCAGTCACGAATCAACCAATGAATGCATAAATAAGTGAAACAACAAATCAAAGTTTCTATCTCTCCCTTCTTCTCTCAAGTCAATAAATAATTTTTTTTTAATTTAAAGACACTTCCTCCAGCAGGTCTACAGCACAGCCCAGGTGCTGACGGAACCGACCGCAAAAGGCCTGAGGAGGAAGAAGGATCAAGGAAATGGGCAGCTGGCAGTTAAGTCATCAGGGTGCCGGCATTCCAGGCCGGCCCTCGGTTCACCTGCCTGACAGGCACTCTGGAATGCAGCCCGGGACACCTACCCTGCAGATTTCAGGGCGTGCTGGTGTGTCAGAGGCTACAGCAGGGCCACCCAAGGGGACAAAACTTCCTGGGGGGACGGGATGGAGGTAGCATGGACTATCCTTACCCACAAGGATAGCCACAGAGGTGAGGCTTAACGGGGCGCTTCCCACCATAACCCTGTAGGAGACCCTAAGCCTCCATTTCCCCATCTGTCAGCTCTGGACAGACAACCAGGCAGACAAAAAGGAGCCAAGACCCCCCGCCTGGCAGCCCCCTCGGCACGGGCTCAGGTGTTCGGGGGAGCCCCCAGGCCCCGTGCCAGGCCTGTGTTCTTGGCTGGGTCCCTGTGCTCCCATCTTCTTCCGGGTTTGTGTTAGTGAGCGGTTGCCACGGATACGGATCTCAGCTTCTCTGGCAGAAAAGGACTCCCCCAGGGCAGGGCTCTGCTTCTCCTCACCAGCCCTCACCCCACCCAGGCTTAAGTGGATCCGTGGGCTGGATCAAAGGGAAAGGACTTAGGGAGGGACAGGTAGCCCCAGAGAAGTTGGGGAAGGATCCCAGCTCTCACGTAGTCAATCTCCAACCACGAACAGGGCCGGCGCCAGCCCCCTTGTGGTTCCAGAAACAGAAGGCTGCCGCCCACGCCCGCCGCTCTGCTCCCACTTCACAGAAGGAAGAACGGGAGTCCAGGGGCAGAGGCAGCTCGGGCCCCAGGAAGCAGAGCTGGGGAGAGGGGACCAGGACCCTCCCCTGAGCGGCTCCCTCCTTCTCCTCACCTGGCAGCCACAAGGAATAGAATGTGGGCCCCATATGCCATTTAACATTTTCTAGCAGTCACATTTAAAATAAAAATAAAAAAGAAATAAGTGAAATGAATTAATATATTCTATTCAACTCAGTCTACCCAACCTACCTCAACATGTAATCAGTGTAAGAGCTATGGGTGAGATCTCAGAATGGAGAGAGGGGCCAGGGGAGCAGAAGCCATATGCTGGGGGGAAGGGGGGTGCTTAAACAGCCTCTGTTAACCTGAGTGAAAGTCACCGCCCAGAGTGTGGCCAGCAGAGAGCAGAGGCCTCCACCACCAAGAGAACACCGCACCTGAGGCTCTGGTTCTGCTCTGCTCAGCCCCGGACCTCAGATGAGCGATGAGGGATGAGTGCTCTGCTCTGCACTGCCCTCCTTCCAGGCAGCATCAGCGTCCCAGCTGCACCAGGAGGCGGAGGGAAGGGTCGGTGTCTGGGTTCCCTCAATTTTATCCCACTGAAGCAGCCCGGGAAGGAGAGCCAGCGCAGGAGCCTGGCCCTCCTCACCTGCTGCCCTCAGGGGTTCCCATGGAGAGGAGAGGCCGTAATTAGCTGGATCACTGGGTGGCGCTGGGAATGCCAGGGCAGAGGCAGACCTGCCGCTGTTCCCAGGACAGAGAGCAGCCCTGGCGGAGGGGGGAGAGGTCCTGAAAGAGACTGTTCCACACAGAGAACGGCGGAGGGCACGGGGGCCAGGGCACAGCTTGCTCAGAGGCAACGGGGAGAAGGCAGTGACCTCAGGGACGCTCTCCTAGGAGGCAGGCCTTGTCCCAGGTGCTTAAGAGACATTCCGTTTGCTCCACATGACCCAGAGGTTAGGGGGAGGAAACAACCACCTGGGAGCCTTGGGGGACACGCCCAAGGTCAAACAGCTGGCCGCTGAAGAGCTGGACTTCCATCTGGCATCAGGGACTCTATAGCTGCCCTGCCCGCTGCAGGGGCCCCACTGTGTCTGGCGAGCACCTGAGATGCAGCTCGCCTGAACTGGCACGTGCCATAAACGTCAAACACACAGGGTTTCAAAACTCCGTGGGAAAAGGAAGGCAAAAGATCTCACCCACAGCTCTTACACTGATTACATGTTGAAGTAGATTGAGTTGAATAAAATATACTAATTCATTTCACTTATTTCTTTTTTATTTTTTAAGTGTGACTGCCAGAAATGTTTAAATGGTATATGGGACCTACATTATATTGCTTTAGGACAAAGCTGATCTATAACACGAAGACAGAAAGTCACAGGATCGATTAAAAGAGAGTGGGAACTCTTTTTTGAGGCGGGAGCCAGGACCAGACTGTAAAGTTCTGGGGGGTAAGGGGGGACAGGGGAGTGGGAACATCAAAAGTGACCGATCAGTGGAGTGTCAGCATCCCCTGGCTCGCACTCGCGTGCGCTCGCTCTCTCTCTCTCTCTCTCTCTCTCTCTCTCTCTCTCTCTCTCTCTCTCTCTCAGATGGGCCAGCCAGCAACAGGTGGGCCCAGACCTGGAATGACCATTCATCACCCTGCCCCACCCAAGCCACAGTAGTTGCCATAGAGACAGTAAATCTTCCTAAAAACTGACCTTGGGGCCAGGAGAGTGTGGGGGAAATCTACCATAAAGAGCGGGAGAGGGAGCCAGACTCATCCGGAGAGGAAATCTGTGTACGTTGTGTGTTGGAGACGGGGCGGTGCATGAGCTCCGTCCTGGCTGGGAAAGGGAGGGATGCACAGCCCATAGACCGGTGTTTGCACAGGGCTTTCCGGGCCTTCCTCCCTGCTCTCCACGCCCTGCATAGCCACTGCTCCCCATCCCCCCTTACCAATTCACCAGAAATTTCCTAGCGGCTGATATTCTGATGGGGGCAGATAAACATCAGACCTCCCTGATCCTACCTCTCCTCTCAACCTCCCCTCCCCGGCAGAGCTGGCTTCCCTAAGATCAGAGGGGGTGGTCTGGGGCCGGAAAAAACAAGTTGAAAGTGCTGCCTGCCAGAAGCAGCCCATCCACTGGCCGCTGGGAGAGGGTGGGAAGCCTCTTCCTAGGCAGGCTTTTTCCCCCCGGTGTTGCTAATGCCATCCTCGATGGGCACTCTTGGGCCATGTTGGACAAGGCTCGTACAGGGGCCTGGGTTTCCCCCGCCTGGATACAGAAGTTCATTTTGCACTGATGCCAGGGTCCCCATGTCCTCTGACTTCTCCCCACCTTAGGGTGGCACTTAAACTCCCAGTTCTCCAGGCGGGCACCTGCATGACAGGGGCTGGTGCACTTGGGCCATTCTTTGTATTCCTGATCGCACGAGCAACGTGAAGAACTGGCGCCACTGGTACCCACTTCCACCCTGCAGCACCCTGGGAGGAATGGAGAGAGCCAAGGGTTTTTGAAAGCTGGAGAGGGGAGGGGAAGGCTTCTGTCTCCCATCAGAGTTCTCCCCTTCCACTTGACACAAACCCCCATCAACAGAGAAGGAGACCCAGACCCAGAGAAGGGAACCCAGGTAGCAGCTGGTTTACGCAGGGCTCTCCTCTAGATCACCTCCAAGTTCTCTTTACAATCTGTCCCCGGTTCCCCCTGCCTTTTATTTTTTTGTAGCTTCAGATTCTACTAAGCTTGGGTGGGCAGGTTCTGGCCCAGCGCGCCAGATACGCGGCCACAGCTCTCCCGCAGGGAGCTCCCACGTCCGCCAGGTCCTTTTCTCTCCCGGCTGCACCAAACCCACCTGAGGGCAGCCTCCGGGAAAGTCCCTGCTCCCAGACCCCAGAGAATTGGGGGAGGGGAGGGGAGGGCGCAGCCTGGAATTCCGTCCGCAGAGGCCCAGGATTCAAGCACCTCACCAACGGACTCAAACCCAGGCTGAGACCGGCCCAAGGTCACACAGGAGGTCCCGGAGAGGTAAAATCTTGGACTGGAACCCGGTTGTTCCACGGAACGCCACCCCATCTTCAAGGCTAATCCGCCTTGGAGATGCTGAGGCTACCCTTCTCTAAGCCCCGGTGGCCAGCGCCCTAGCCCGGGCTCCAGGCGCCATGGAGCAGGAGGCGGTATCTTCAGGCCTCCAGCCAGGGCCAGCTGCAAACCGCATCCTGGGTCCCCAGGCGCCACGGACCCGCTCCGCCCTGCCCCCTGCTCCCCGCAGCCCGGAGCCTTTGTCAGCCACGCGCTCACACGCGCGCACACACACACACACACACACATACACGCTCACACACACACACCCGCGCTGCCTGCGCGCACACACTCGGTCCCCCCTGGCGCACACCCGCAAGGGGCGCGCGCGCTCGCTGCACGGAGGACGCAGGGGAGTGGAGGCGGCGGAGGAAGGGACTGGCGGGCTACGGACCTACAGACCGACCTACGGACCGTCTGGACAGGGGGAAGGGGAGGAGAGGCCCGAAAACCTGAGGTGGGGGCGGAAGGAGGTGCGGAGGCGAAAGGCAGAGAGAAGCAAAGGAGACTTGGGAAAGAGGACAACGGGTGGGAAGTCAAGGGATGGCGAGGACGCGCGGGCCATACCAGGGGTGGGACCCCCCCCAAAAAAACCTCTGGTCCCGGGTGGGAGAACGGTTTATGGATTGGATCGGGGAGCCTGAGCGGAGAGGGCCCTTGGGGACCCCGCGTAAGGCGTGGATAAAGGGGATCTGGGACCACAGGCTCCCCGGGGGAACCTCGAGGCGGGGAGTTCTGGTTCTCGGACTGAATGGGGCACCAGCTCACCTACGACGGTGTACCTGTCCAGGTAGTTGAGCACGTTGCCCAAGCTGAGGATGGCGGCGGCTGCCCCTCGCCTGCGGCCCCAGCTGGCGGGCTTGGGCTGCTGCGCGCCGGGGCCCTTGGCAGCAGCGGCTGCGCAGCTCGGGGTGCCGGGGGAGCTGGGAGGTCCCGACGGGGCCCTCCTCACGCTGCCCGACAGCGTCTGCACCTCGTCGTCGGGGCCCGCCGCTCCAGCGGCGCCCGCGGTCCGCGCCCCGCAGCAACCGCCGCCGCCGCCAGCTCCGAGCTGCGCCCCCCGGCGCCGGCGCCGCCGCTCCGCGTCCGCCTCCTCGTCCTCCGCGCCGCCCGCCGCCGCCGCGGCGCAGTCCAGGCACATCATGCCGGCCGGGAGCGCGGCGGCGGGGGGCGCGGGGGGCGCGCGGCCCGGCTTGGCCCCGCTCAGGGCGTGTGTGCGCCGCGGAGCCGCCGCAGCACCATCCCGGCTCCTGCGCTCCGGGAGCCCTGGCTGCGGCGCGGCCCCGGTTCAGCACTATGCGCTGTCGCCGCCGCCGCGGCTCTGACAGCTGCTGCCCGGCTCCGCCCACCGCGCCGCAACCAATCAGCTCCGGGCCCTGGCCACAGCCCCGCCCCGCACGTGCTGCCCCGGGGGTGGAGGGGGTAGGGGGTGTCCTTCCGCAGAGCCCCTGCTGCCCGACGGGGGCGCAGTCACGCTGCAGCCGCACGACCAAGGAGGCGGGCGAGGGCGCGGAGCGGGTGTGTGGGAGCTACGGGGCTAGGGACAGGGTGCGGGGAGCAGGACTCCCCCCCAGAACCCATTCAATGCCCTCGGTCTCCACTGCCTACCAAAGACCCGGCCCTTGGCGGGGGCTGGGAGAAAGCTGAAGGCTCTAGCTCGTGCACGTCCTGGAGAGAGGGTCTCTGTTAAGTGGGGGGAGGGGAGGAATGGCTGCTCCAGCAGCTGCTCACCTGCCCTCATTTAATCAGTTCCAGGAAGCGTGATCCATGCGGGCTTAGCCCAGAACCCAGGTCTCCAACAGGCACACAAGGCCATCTCCCCAGGGAAACCAGAGGAGTCCCCATCCTCCCCCTGTGTGTGCACTGAGACCCTCCCCCTGTCTCAGAGGCAGCCCCTGGCAGAAACAGGGCATTAAGAAGGGGCCTCCTCTCCTCCGTGTGTGGCATCCCCAAGTGTCAAGCTTCCAGCTGTGCACTAGGTAAGGGGCAAAGCCCTGAATGGAAGACAAGAGGTTTGGACCTCGCCCAGCTGTGCCCCGGAGAGTGGCAGGACCCTGGCCTAGACTCCCTGGGTCTCGGTTTCTCTCTGTTAGGGAGATGGGATTCAGACAATCTGGAAGTCAGCGAGTGGTCAGTGGAGGGGGGAGGCCTGTCTTCCATAGAGAGTGGTTGGTAGCTTGTGTGTCCACAACCACCACTCTCACCCATCTCAGAGGACCTGAGGTCCGCGCGTCCCTCCCCCCCCCTCATGTGTTTGAGATTTTGATTGACATTAAATTCCTGCATAAAGTGCTGAGGACAGAATGGTAGAACTAGACAGAACCTGAGAAACCAGAATTATTCCGTGAGTTTCACAGACGGGTCCCAGGGCCCAGAAATGACCCCATTATAGGAACGTGGCTACTCTGTCAGGTGCTGATGGAGGGCTCTAACACCAGCCCCCAGGCTGGGAGCTCAGTTCCTACCTCATGTTCTTCCAGGTCCAAGTCCACAGGCAGGTGCTTCTCATGAGGATGTTGACCACAGTGAGTCATGACATGGCAAACGGGTGACTCAGCATGAGGCATCCCACACACAGACACCCGACCCACTGTCTCTTGTGAGCAGTTAATCCCCAAGCTGCGGGTGGCTTTTGACACCCTTGAGGTGTATTTTAAATTCTGAGAAATGACTAAAAATATGCTTTGGCATGTTGGGTATGAATGACTGTGATGGAAGGGTTAGAAAAGCAGATTTCATTCTGAAAGTTGCCTCGCTGCCTCTTTCCGGCTTGCTGAGTTCAAGCCTGCAGGGCTGGACAGGGGAAGTTCCGATGGGTGGCCTGGGATGACAGGTGGCTAAAAGGTAAAGACAGATCTAGGAGCTCCATGGGGCTGGGGCTAGGCCCTGGCAATGAACTTCATGTGCGATGGTCCTTAATATGATCTCCAAAACCTTTCATAACGCTTTGTGACCCATGCCAACCTCTAGCCTCAGATCCTGCTGCCCACCCCTCAAAATTACACTTCACCACACAGAAAACTGAGCTCCATCAACTCATGCACAGTTACACTTCCTGGAGCCCAGAGGAGTGGCAGGAGTTGGGGCACTGGTGTATAGTCCCTTCTCTCCCATCCACACAAAAGCCCTTGTCCGACTAATGCAATGCAGCTTCAGTACCACGGAGAGCGTCACATGGGCTGGTCCCCCTCCCCAGGCTCTTGGGTCTTGTTCTGCCTAAGCTGTCTACCTAGCTGCCTCCTCCCACTTGTTGTTTAGAAACCCAGCACAGACATGGTTTCCTCCAGGAATCCCTTCTTGCACCTGCTGAGCAACTATCATTTCCTCCTCCCGGCTACCTGAGGAACCTGTGTATCCTTCCCTCCCACCCCACACATTGTGCCGATTATGTTTGTCCACCCACACACACACCCGCGCCACAATAGACTCTGAGTCTCCAGGGCCCATACCCTGTCTGATTCATCCCTGCAGTCCAGGACAGAGGAGGTGTTCAGAGGATGTTTGTTGATTGAATGAGTAAATGACATTTAGCAGGTGCTCAGAAGTGTGTGTTGCTTTCTATCACATGTCTATTGCTCTAAGCGATTCCAAAACCAGCCCGATTCCTCTCCCAGGCCCCTTTGGAGAAGGCATTTCCTCCCTGATTGACTCACCCTCCCTGAGCTTCTACGTGCCGTGTTTGTCGGCCCTTTGATTACCTTCTCCACAGGTCACCTCCCACAGTGGGAGAAGGCACCTGCCCAGGTGTTCCCAGCTAGGATTTGTTAGAGCCCGTCCATCCCCAGCCCAGCCCACCTCAGGAGTTCCCTCAGAATGTTTCATCTCTGGCCGAAACCGGTTTGGCTCAGTGGATAGAGCGTCAGCCTGTGGACTGAAAGGTCCCAGGTTGGATTCTGGTCAAGGGCATGTACCTTGATTGCAGGCACATCTCCAGTAGGGGGTGTGCAGGAGGCAGCTGATGGATGTTTCTCTCTCATCAATGTTTCTAACTATCTCTCTCCCTTCCTCTCTGTAAAAAAAAATCAATAAAATATATTTAAAAAAAAAAAAAAAAGAATGTTTCATCTCTGCCTCTCTCTGCTGCTCAGAACAGATGGCTCTGAGTCTCCACAAACACAGGCATTTCTGTTCTGTCATTTGAACATGTTTAACACTTTCTAAATTACAGAAGCTTCGTCCTCCTCCGGTCATGAAACAGACCATCAGAAATGAAGAATCCCTTGAAGGACATCGAGTCCAGCCTCTTCCCTTTCCCATGGAGAGACTGCATCTGAGATAGGACCAGTGGCCTGCCCAAGGTCATTGTAATGAACACCATGTTTGTTCTCTTGTTTTGTTTTTTTTGTTTTTATTGTTTCGTGGGGTGGGGTGTCTTTTTCCCTCTTTCATTGCTGTTTTGTTTTGATGTTCAGAGTCCATCCCCTCTCCTAACAGCACTCTCGTATCCTGGTCTTAGTGGAGTTATACATCAAGGCATGACATAGGATCTGCTTGCCCAGTGTTTTAAATCTTGAGTAGGATGGCAAGAGAAGAGGGAAAATTTGTCTGGAGCTTGGTGAAGGCCCCCCAATATGATGATCCAAGGAGCCCTGGTTCCCGAATCTCCTATCTCCCCATCAATTTTGTGAATTCCTTATGTGCTTCCAACAAATTTCTTTCTGACTTGAGATAGTTTCTGTTGCACATAACCCTACCACCCTAACTGGCATGGCCACACAGAAGGAGCACATGCAGCCACACACCTCTTGCTGCCTCCTGACAGCTCTGTCTCTAGAGTTTGCATCAAACCAAGCGACCTCACAGGTCCACCCAGGCATGGAGGAAAGACAGACACTTCAGGGACTAAAGCAGGCAGACCGATGTCTGGTGTTGCAGGGGAACAGCCAGGGTTGGAGTGACCATCTCAATACACACGTTCAACCCTTCAAGCCCGGGGTCAGGGTGGTAAAGAGCTTTTATCCAGACCCTGTAAACACATCTTCACATGCTCGTACACCAACACAGAAAAGAACACGCACAGGCACACACACACTTCAGGCACACCCGCATGCCAGGATGACACCTGGACCTGGCATGCAGCATGTTTCTGGGAAGAGCAGTTCATACACTGTGGGAGCAGGTCAGGCTTGAGGGCCTCAACCTGTTGAGCAGCATGTTCCCTCGTGACATTCCCAACAAACAAGTCCCGAGTATTAGTGACGGGGATTGCCAAGCAAGTGCCCTTTAAGCCAGACAGATGTGCTCTAGTTGAGTGGCTGAGCTCACATCCACCTACCCCTGTGACCTCAGCCCAGTCTGGTACTGGTCTCTCCCTCCCAGACTCCACCAGCCCCAAAGCTCCCACCCTGCTTCAAACCACTTCTGATGATAGCATCCTATAAGCGCCTGGCCCAGCATTTTGTCTAGCTCAGTCCTGAGAAGCTCCACCCATCCTGCCCAGCAGCGTAAACACAGGAAAGACAGACACTTCAGGGAACCCACTGACGTCAGAAGAAACTACCCCAGATTATAGGACTCAAGCCCCAACTCCTCAACTGCCATCTGAGCCCCTCTGGTTCCAGCCAGTCTCTCCTGCCTCCTTTCCCTCCCCTGAAACACACACGCACTCTCTCCTCCTCTCCTGCCACACCATACCCCTCCATCACTCATCACAGGTCTGCTCCATGACCCGTACCTTGGCCTGGTCTCTTCCTTCCACTGGGAATTCCCTTCCCCAACAACTTCTGCCATTTGCCAGCTCCTAGGTCACCTCGCCAAAGGCTTCTGAGGGATGTAACCGTTCCTCAGCCCAGGACTAGGCCTAGCGGAGTGTGTCTCTGTCTTATCTTGGGCTGTGAGGCCCAAGGGCAGGGCTGGAGTCAGATTCCCTGCCTGACACCAAGATGGGCACCTACATGTTTCTGGAACTGGTGAAAGTGAGATTTCTGATCTTTCTCCCCAGCCACTGGATGCTAGGGTGAGGGATGGGGGGGGGGTGATTGAGGTTCTAACACTTGGGAAGCCCTCACCCTTTTCTGAGAGCCAAACCCTCAGGGGTCCTCCCAGGGCTGTAGGAAGGAAGGCTCGCAACCTGGCGCTGGGTTCTTGTGGGCCTCCTGGACCTAGCCTGTGAGAATCACGTGAGGCCTAGGCTGGAAAAGCCACATTCCGCCTCTTAAATATAGCTGGGGGCATGCAGCTCAGAGGGGACAGGAAGGGGTCGCACAGCCAGGGAATGCTGAAGGACCGTGGCACCCCGGCTTCCCCCAGACTGGCCGCCTCCTTTTCAGGAGAAACGAAGCGTGATGCTGCGATGTATAATATGTATACGTTTCTGAGCTCCCAACACCCTTGGAATTTCCTAAGTGATAAGAACCTGAAAGGTGTCTTGTTTGTTAATGAGGTGACTTTGGGACCCCACCAGTCCCCCCGAGGAGGGAGGAGGGCTGCAGGTTGAGATCCGTTGCCAATGGCCAATAGTTTAATCAATCATGCCTATGTAATGGATGCTCCATAAAAACCCCAAAGGTCAGCATTCCGGAGCTTGCAGGCTGATGAATACGCAGAGCTTGGGGAGAGTGGCACCTGGCAAGCCCATGGAAGAAGCCCCGCCCCTTCCTACACCTTGCCCTGTGTTTCTCTTCCATCTGGCGAGGGAGGCCTCCATTATAGCCTTCTATCATAAGCCGGTAATCTAGTAAGTAAACGGGTTTCCTGAGCTCTGTGGCCACGTTAGTGAGTTCACACGCCTAGGGAAGGGAACCTCCAATTGACAGCCAGCTGGTCAGAAGCACAGGTAACAACCTGGACTTGGGATTGGCATCCGAGGTGGAGGGCGAAGGGTTGTAGGACTGAACCCTTAGCCTGTAGGGCCTGGCACCATCTCTGGGCAGACTGTCAGGACCCAGTGGGATCAGGACAACCACTGGCGTCAGAGAATTGCTTGGTGCTGTAGGAACTCCCCACCCACGTGGTAATTGGGCGCAGAGCCTTGTGCTAAACATCCTCAGGAGTCCTTTTTCTTATCACGGGACAGCTTCTCCCCTCCTCCCCCATTTCATGAGCTCCAAGTGTCAAATCCTAGGTCGAGGGGCTGGCTGGCCTGGCGGCCTGGTGTGGCCTCACCCGGGGGAGAGCTGGGCCAGGAGAACAGGCGTGGGCTGAGCCAGAGTGTAGCTCCTGGAACTTGTCCCACCCACCAGCGAGCACAGGGAGGGCACACAGGGGGCGGGGATGAAGCAAGCGAGGGCCAGGAGGTGAGCACAGGGCTGGGTCACCGCTCTGCCCACAGCTGCTGGGAGACAGGCACAGCCTGGCGCAGGGAAGGGGGGCGATCAGCAAGTAAACAAGTGATCGCCTGGCCGGGCACCAGGGGAGGGGAGAGGAGCTCATGCTCACAGGCGGAACCAACACGCCGCCCGCCTGGAAGCTGCCATCTCCTGCAGGGCCCGCTGCGCCCAGCTGCTCCGAGCCCAGTGGGAGTCCCGCAGAGCCAGCCCTCCCCGTGGGCTGTGCGAGGGTCAGGGCGTGGGGACCGGGTGGGGGCCAGGAGGACCCCTGCTCAGTCCTGTGAGCCCGCGTGGTTGGGCAGCTGGGTCTGCACAGGCATGGGCATGCCTCCATGGAGCTCCTAGAACTTGAAGCCACACACCCGCACCCACCCCCCAGCAGAAACCTACCTCCCAGACCCCGGATTCAGCTGCCACCTTTTGTTCAGGGGCTGAATTCACGGAGGGGGGTGTCCTGCGCCCTCCTGACCCTGCAGCGTGAGGACACTGAGTCGCCGTGGGAAGTCCAGGGTGGAGAGGCCCAGACACCCATCTGAGCGGCTCCCTCCGTTTCCCCACCTCTTCCTTTCCTGCTCCCACTCCCAGCACAGGCACGGCGAGACTGTAAGTAACATAATGGCCCACAGGCCTGCCACCCGTGGGCTTTGTACCGGCCACGCTTTAATCAGGGCCCCCTGACAGACAGGCTGAGGAGCCCAGGCTGGAGCAGCCCCGTGCTGGGGGCAGGCGCAGGCCCAGGCCTCCCACGGAGGGTGCTGATAGCTCCATTCCCAGCCCCACCGCAGGCCCTGCCAGCTCTCCATGGGAGCAAAGACATGGCAGGTGCAGCTCGGCCAGAGTCCCGGAGCCACAGCCAAGGGCGAGCAGAGGCACTGACTCTGTGGAGACCAGCAGCAGGGTTGCAGACAGGGTGGGACTCCTCACTGCAGGACGGGATTGGGGGGAAAGAGCGTGGGGGGGGGGGGGACGCCTCAACGCCTCAGGAGTCCTCTGTGGAAGCGTCCGTGCCAGGAAGCAGGCGTTGGCACTCCGCATCCTTGTTTTCCGGGGTCCCTGTGTGAGGAAAAGCTCAGCCAGCCCCAAAGGAGGCAGAAGGAGCGTTGGGACCAGGCCTGGGCAGTCTGTCAGGAAATCCTCTAGCTTCCATTTTCAAAACAAACTCCAAATCCAACCCCTTCTTCAGCGCCACGAGCCGGGCCCCGCAGCTCTCCCTTGAGGCTGCGGAGCCTCCTGTGGCCTCTCTGCACCAATGCCAAGTCCCCACGGTCTGTTCTCACACAGCAGCCAGAGGGATGCTTTGGCAGGATAAAGCAGTTGCCTTTAGGCTCATCTGCCAGAAATCCCACAGGGTCCCCATCTCACTCAGAGTTAAAGCCCCAGTTCCTTCATGGGCCCCTCGAAACACCCCATGCTTGGACCCCATTACCGCCACCCTGTGCCTTCCCCCTCGCTCCTGCTCCAGCTGCACCAGCCTCCTTGCCAGTCCTCACACACACCAGGTGCATCCCACCTCAGGGCCTTTGCACAAGCTGCTCCCTCTCCACAGATGGCTGCCTGGTTCATGCCCCCAACTCCGAATCTTTGCTCCACTGTCACCTGTGCGGTGAGGACCTCCCTCACCATCCTTTTGAAGAATTTAAACTGCCCCTACCTTTTCCTGCTTAATGTCTCCCTGTAGCACTTATCACCTCAAACACACTCCATCTTTTGCCCTTTTTTGGTTCGTTTCATGAATCTCTGCCTTCTAGAGCATCAGCTCCATGAGAACTTGCACTTGGCATTCACTCGCCAGCACCTGCAACCTTGCCTGGCACATAGTAAGGGCATAATAACTATTTTTGAATGAATGAATGAATGAATGAATGAAAGAATGATGAATGAACAAATAAACTGGCCAGGAGCTCAGGGGGTGGCTGGTGCTCCTTGCTCCTGTGGGGGTCAGCTCTGAGCCTGGCATGGGGGTGGGGGGTGGAGATACCTGAGCCAGGCTGCTGGGCCTGGGCCTGGTCTTCCTCCAGGTGCAGTGCAACCTGCAGGAAGCAGCCGCCCCCGAGGACGACGGCGAAAGCACAGCACAGGAAGCTCTGCTGAAGGCTGAGGAAGCGCTGCAGGTAGGTGTCAGGGCGTCTGGCCCGCAGGACACTGGAGATCTGCGGAGAAGGGAGGCTGGGTCTGCAGGCCAGCTCGCAGGTCTTACCACAAGCATTTCCGCCCCAGACCTTCCCCACCTCACACACACACTCGGGCCCGCCTGCAGCCCGGCCACCCCCTGGCCTTACCAGTCCGATGAGATAGGGGCTGCTGGCATCTCCGAGGACGTGGCCCACAGTGATCTGAAGCGCCTCTGCCGTGCCCCGGCACTTGGGCAGCACCACTGACTGTAAAACACAGGAGCAGCAGGGAGCTCTCTGAGCGAGGGCAGCGAGGGGGTGCCCCCTCCTGCTCACCCCCTGCTTCTCTCCTGCCAAGAACCGGAGGTGTGACAGGCTGGCCAGGGAATACGGCAAGAGGGAGTCAATGACCCCAGCGCCTGAAGCCCCACCACCAAATGGCAGGCCCCACCGAGGTTCAGGAAGACTCCCAGGTCTCCCAGGATGGGGTATCAGGTCCTGACGAGGCCACCCCTCTTGAAGGTTAAACTAGCAGGGATAAGGCATGGCTGTGACAACAGAGGTGGGCTAGGCCTTCCAGCTCAGGGGCCCGGGAAGCAGCAGTGCAGGCTGCCAGGGTGAAAGTGGGCACACTGCCAGGTGCAGGCATGGTGGGCGCCTGGGCAGGACAGAAAAAGGTCAGCGGGGCCTTTCTCTCAAGAAGTTCAAGCCCACCCTAGCTGGTTTGGCTCAGTGGATAGAGCATCATCCAGAGGACTGAAGGGCCTCAAGTTGGATTCCAGTCAAGGGCACATGCCCAGGTTACAGGCTCAATCCCCAGTGGGGGGTGTGCAGGAGGCAGACAATGATTCTCTCTCAATTGATGTTTCTATCTCTCTCTCACCCTCTCTCTTCCTCTCTGAAATATATATATATATATATATATATATATATATATATATATATATATATATATATATTTATTTTATTTTTTTTTTTTAAGAAGTAGTTCAAGCCCCATTGGGCAGAGACCAACAGCAGCCTAGCTGGAGAGGCCCACACAACTCCATGGAAGAGGGTAGGGAGGTTAGGAATATGAGTTCTTGAGTCAGAATGTGTGTGTGACTTTGGGCAAGTTGCTTTCTGTGCCTCAGTCTCCTCATCCTGGGGATGATAACAGAACCTCCACGGCGGGTTACGCTCTTGGCGTTCTTCGCCCGGTACCGGGAGGCTTCGGTGGCCATCAGATGGAAACGGCATCCTCGGACTGCGGAGGCAGAATGCCTCCGGACATTGGAACATGCTGTGCCTTCTGCCTGGCCAGCCTCCCCTCTCTGTGTCCAAATCCCTATTTGTCCTTTGGGACTGACCTTTGGGTCGCCTCCTCTGAGAAGCCTTTCAGAGCTCAGGGACCCGCCCTGAGTTCCCACGGCCCCTGTGTGCACCCTAACTGAATGCACATCCCCACCACTGGGACGGTTCCTCCTGTGTCCACCGCCTCTTACCCCTCCATTGTCTGGGCAGCAAAGCTCCGAATTTCTCTTGAGGTGCCTGGGGTACAGCGAGGCACCAGGCACAGAGAGGACTGCTAGATAAATCAAGTAGATCTGGAAACTGGGCCCAGAAAAAACCCTGCCTGGACCCACAGCTGTGGCAGGGGCTGGGGGCGGGGGTTCAAGCAGAAGCCACATGGTCCCCACGGAGCAGGCACAGGAGAGCTTCCCCTGAAGAGGCTTCCCCCTGAGATCTAGGTGTCCTACACCCATCAGAGAGTTTACCCATGAGAATAATTACTAACATTTACTGAATGCTTCCTGTGTGCATGTTACTTAAATATGTGTGTACATATATGTATTTATATGTGATTACATATTTATATGTGCATATATATTGAAATATATGTGTGTGTATTTATATGTGTATATATATTTAAATATACACTGAGTGGCCAGATTATTATGACTTCTGAATGCATAATAATCTGGCCACTCAGTATATATCCTATATAATAAAAGGTTAATATGCAGCCGAAACCGGTTTGGCTCAATGGATAGAGTATCGACTTGGGGACTGAAGGGTCCCGGGTTCGATTCCGGTCAAGGGCATGTACCTTGGTTGCAGGCATATCCCCAGTAGGGGGTGTGCAAGAGGCAGCTGATTGATGTCTCTCTCTCATCGATGTTTCTAACTCTCTATCTCTCTCCTTTCCTATCTGTACAAAATCAATAAAATATATATATTTTTTAAAAAGGCTAATATGCAAATTGTCCCCTCAACCAGGAGTTTGACCAGCAGGCAGGCTGGCCAACCTCCCATGTCCCCTCCCCCTAGCAGCCTGGCTGGACCCCACCCATGCACGAATTCATGCACCAAACCTCTAAAATATACACACACACACACACACACACACACACACACACTGAGTGGCCAGGTTATTATGCGTTCAGAGATCATAATAATCTGGCCACTCAGTGTATGTGTGTGTATATATGTATATGTGTATGTATAGATATATACAAAGTAATATGCATACTATAATATATTCAGCCCAGCCATGAGGGGGTATGGTTATGATCCACTTTTACTCGGTGAGGAAACCTCCCACAGGAAGGGTGAGGAACTTGCAGGGCCACCCAGCCAGGAAACAGCAGGCCTGAGCTTCACTCCCAGGCCTTCTCCCTCCAGTGCCTGGCCACTCAGCTGCTAGGAGCAAGGAGTCTTTCCATGATTATGTATGTGTTTGTTCTAGAACATTTGGAAAACAGAGAAGGATAAGAAGGACAGGTTCATCCCTAGCTCTGCAAACAGGTACCTGGTAGGGACTGGGGAGGGGCGTTCCAGGCCTGGGACAGTGTGAACAAAGGGAGCAGGAGGCCAGGGACTGGGAGCCTCAGGGGGTCTGGTGGGTGGGCAGGGCAGAGTAGTTGGAGTCACTCTTGTGGGTGACCCGCTAGTCCTGGGGTCACTGGTGCTGAGCCACTCTTTCCAGGTGCTGAGAAAGCGGGGCCCCCACCCATCACGGCAACCTGCCAACAGGCCTGAGGAGGAACTGACCGCAGCGCTGCACCTTCCCCAAGCGCTTCCTTCTCATCCCATAATTATGTGATTACTCACTGGCCATTCTGGGGAAAAGGGCAGAAATTCCTAGAGGCCAGGCCCTGAGTGTCCAAAAGAAGCCCATTCGGGGGCCAGTGCTGCGTGGACCCTCAGAGTAAGATCCAGGAAGGCTGCTCCCATCCCCCCCTCCCAGGAGCCCCAGGCAGTGGCTAGAGAGGGAGATTCCCCCCACCCACTGCCTGCTCTGGGCCCCCTCGTCTCCCTGTGGCCAGGGGGCCATGGTGGGGCCCGCCAGCTGCTCGAGAGCCCAGCTGGTCATTGTAGAAGCGAGAGGCTTTTGGGTTCTCAAACACCCTGGCTCGCTCTATTCTGAGACAAACACACCTCTGTTTTTAGTCCCCTCCTTAGAGGAGCAATTCCCTTTATAGCCCAGGGTATAACCAGCGCCAGCCACGGGCCCACAGAGTCAGAGCGGCAATCACCAGGTGCAAACTCCCTGGCTGCCTGCCTCCTGTGCTCCCCACTCAGCCCTCACCCTGGGACTCCCTGGGATGGGAGCAGACACCCCTGGGAGTGTGAGCAGACAGCTACCTGGAGGGCAGAAGGCAGAGCAGGGAGGAGCTGGGACCCGGTCATCAGCACAGGAGGGTTACCCTGCAGGGGGGAGGAGGAATCTGCTGGGAGGTGGGAGACCAGTCCCATGGCTGGATTCCAGACCCCAGAGGACGGACCTGGGAGAGGGCATGAGCTTCCCTCTGCCCTCCTCCCCAGGGCTGGGCTGGAGTGAGCTGACTCTGGGTCACCCCAAGTGGTGCCCAGACAGACAGGAGGGCTGGGAGGGAGCTGGAGGCCACTAGTAGGTTCAGGGAAGCTGGGAGCTCTGCCTGGGAAGACACAATGGCAGCCTTCCGGGGAGCAGTGCCCTGGGGGCCCGGCTGGGCTAGGGGGAGCTTGTCGGAGTGGGTCTGAGGTGGGTCTTGGCTGTGAGGGAGCCAGATCCTTTTCATCACCTTGGACGAGCCAGGACAGGGTCTCCCAAGGCTCAGGGAGGGACCACCCTGTCAGAGAGCCGTGGACAAGGGGATGGGCAGCGCTAGTAGGTTTGACAGAGGGTTCACGGACTGAGGAGCTGGTGCCAGACCAGTAGGCGCCAGGTGTGCTGTGAGGAACATCCATGTCAGGTCCCATGGAACGCCCATTGGAAAAGCAGGTCCCTGGCCCCATGCACACCCACTGCATCAGAGCTGAATTTGCAACAAGCTCCCCAAACATGAATCATGAACTTCGAGAACCACTGGGCCAGAGAGCCTGAGGTCTCTTTCCCCGGGGGAATCCGGCCTCTCCTATTGGTGGATTTGCGGACCAGAGAGCAGTGCTCCTGGGGCAGGACGGACATGGAGGCCTTCTCTGAGGAGCCCTCAGGAATCGCAGGATGCGGTAGCAGGGATCAGCTCCCCTGTCCCTATAGCCTGGGGCCTCCTCCCTCCCTGGGTCTTGCCCCATGAGACCACCTGGGCCTCAGGACAAGAGCCTGCGCACAGATGGGACCCTCCGGCCATACCCATGTCCCCGCACGCTCCCTGCCCCTGCCCTGATCCAGGCTCTTCCCGCAGCCCTCGCCCTCCCCTCCTGCTCCCCTCCCTGCTCCTGCCCCATCTCCGGAAAAGCAGCACCAGCTTCCCAGGATCTTCTGCCAACTCAGCTGCCATCCTGTCTCTGCCTGGGCACAGCTTCCTGCCGCCTTGGTCTGCACTCCCGGTCTCCTTCACCTCCCACTCCTTCCTCGCCCTGCTCCCAGCTGGCATCTACTCCTCCCCTCCACACACCGGCTCCCCTCAGCTGCCCCTCACCTGTGCTTGGCCAAGGCCACTTCCTCTCTGCCAGGGACCTGAGCTCCCAACGCCGCAAGCACTGGCCCAGCTCCCACCGACAGAGTGCCAAAGGCAGTCCTCGCTGGGGCTTCGGGAAAGTGGAGAGGCAGGAGAGGGGGGCACAAAGACTCCCCGGGGTAGTGGGACTTGCTAAGCTTGGGGCTGGAGACCTCGGGGCCAGGGAAGGACCCAGGCAGCACCCAGGAGTCTGGGCCATGGCCAGCCGGCCCCCTGGGGAGCTCCCCAGCAGAGCCAGACACGTCCAACTATGGCTGAGCAGGCCCTAGCCCTCCCTTTCCCCAGTCCCTACCCCCAGGACACACAGCCCCACGAGGGGCGCTTCCTAGCCAGGTTAATCATTCCTGCGAACACAGACACTGGGGGCCCTGGGTGCAGTCTTCACATATCTCTGGTGCTGTCACCCAGAAAAGGGAGCAGCACTGCAGGGGGTGGGGGGCAGGCCAGGGCGCTGCGGGGGGCAGGTTGCAGCGCCCCCTGAACCGCCTGGGAGAACAGCTATGTGGGGTCAGGGGCAGCTCCCCGTGCCTGAGAGTGGGCAATTCTACAAAGAACACGCCTGCCAGCACGTTCCTGCTTTCTCATCCACCTGCAGGGCTCTCCCTCGCGTACCCCGCCAGGCCTGTGTGATTACCCCTTTTTACAGACAAGGAAACTGAGGCCCAAGGCCGTTCGGCAGGTCTGTAGCTGAGTTTGGCGGGAGCCCAGGCACCCTGTCTGGAGAGAGGAGGAGAGAAGACCCGCCCGCCCTGCAGCTGATACACCCACCCGGAGCCAAAGAGCCCGCAGGCCCACCCGCACCGCTGAGCCTGGGCCCCAGGAGGATCAGGAGTGAGCACCCCTTCCAGTCAAGCAGGCCCCGGCGGCTGATACAATGGCTGCACTTCCCCATGGCCCTTTCGAACCAGGTTCTAGGAGCCAGGTTATCTCTGGGAGGTGGAAGATGAGAAAGTGGGAACCTCTGAACTGCTCTCAGAACCCCGGCCAGCATTCTCCGCGCCAGCCGGCGGGCAAAGCTTCACACATGCCATCTCATGCCACCCTCACAATAACCCGTAGGGCATGTCCATCCCCGCTTGCCACGCAGGGAAACCCAGGCTCGGGAACACAGAGTGACTTGTCCATGTCAGACAGCCTGTGAGGGAAAGCAGCAGGGCTGAACCCCAGGTCCGTTTCCTGAATCCGAGCCCGTGCCCCGGCCGCCCCATCCTCAGGACAGCTCTCAGCCAAGCTGCTCCGATCCCCTGTGCCCAGGGAAGAGGGCTCTTGGTTATCCACGAGGGCACAGCCCTTCGGTGCTCAAAGCCCTTCCCTGCACGTCTCTGAGAAGGACGAAGGGAGACTGGGAAGGAGGGAGTCCCTGGACCTAGCAGAGGGATGTGGTCAGGACAGCGTCAGGCCTCATTACAGCCCCCGCCATGGGAGTGTGGTGGCCCAGACCCGCCTGGGCTCAGAGGCCAAAGCCCTAAAGACCAACACCCCCATCTACAAGCCCGGTGAGGAGGCCACGGAGCCTGCCGGTGGAAAAGCAGTGCCGTCGAGAGAGAGGCGGGGCGGAAGGGAGCCCTGGAGTCAAAAAGCCTGGGCTCCCATTCCGGCCCAGTGCCTTGGCGTGCTGTGTGCCCTTCATCCGGGCCCTGCCCTCTCCGAGCCTCCATTTGCTCATCTGCAAAATGGGGGCGATAGAGGAGGCACTTAGGAGTGTCAGGGAAGCCCATGACCCACAGAAACTATTCGGTGACCTCCCGAGGTCTCCCTCCCAACAGCCAGGCCACTAACAGCAGAGGTCCAGCCTGAGCGAGGCAGATGCCAGCTGCCCCTGCTCAAAAGGCCCCAAGCCCAGCCCCCACTCTGACCCCGACACCTACCAGCAGGATATCAGCAACCACTGCCCAGTTGCAGGACAGAAGCAGCTCCCCGAGGGCCAGGAACACCTGTGGACAAAGGGCAGGCGGGTGAGGCCCCTGGACCCCATCACCTGCCCCTCCGAGCAATGGCTCCTCCCGCTGCACAGAGGGAGACGGAGGCTGCACAGAGGGAAGCCCATCAAGACTTACTGGGATGAGCTCAACCCCCAGAGAGGGGCATGCAGGAGGCAGCCAATCGGTGATTCTCTCTCATCATTGATGTTTCTCTCTTTCTCTCCCTCTCCCTTCCTTCCTGAAATGAATAAAGATATACTAATTTTTTTAAAAAAAGAAGACGTATTGGGATGGCTGACTCTGGAACTATTTCCTCTTCCGCAGCCTCAAGGGTGGGTGGCCATTCCCATGGGGCAGGCTGGCAGCCATGACCCAGAGGGGAGGCCGGGCCCCGGCCTGGGAACAGAGCTCTTCCTCATGGGCAGCCCCCGGGGGCTAGCACTGAGGTCACCCCTGGGCCCCAGCAGGAGGGAGGCAGCCAGGACTTCCAGGCCACCTTGAGAGGCAGGACAGCAGGCTGGGAGAGGGGGGAAGCCTTGCCTCCTCTCTGCTCCACTGACGGCTGCCTATTGTGTGTCCCACCCCCACCCCCAGCCCCACCCCAGTGTCTGCTGGCAACAGGAGGCCACCTCGGCCTGTCTCTCCCAGCTCCCTCACCCCCTCCTCATGCCAAAGGATTAGGACAATCCTCATTCCACTCACTCAAGAAGAGCTTAATGAGGCAGCAAGAAGGAGAAAAGAAGTCTTATTTCTCAGAGCTTCCAAGAACTTATTGCTGGGGTGGAATCCGCCATCCCGGAGTCACGGGGCTGTGCCCTGGGCAGCCCGGGCTCCGGCTTTCAAAGGCCTGTGAGCACCCAAAGCAGAGAAGCCCAGGGCTCACTGCCTGCACACACACCTACTGTGTGCCAGGCATGGCCAATCTGGTCACCCACCTAACCTCGCAGCCACCTCCTAAGACAGATAGCATTACACCTAGTTCACTGGTGAGGAGGCTCAAGCCCAAGGTCACACAGCAAAACCCTTTCTGGCAGGCCCCTCGCCCCTGTGGCTGGCCCTGTGCCAGGTGAGGAACAGGAAGCTGAGGGGCGGGGAGGGAGGCTCCACAGAGGCCTCAGCAGCCACTGTGCCCAGCGAAGCTGGCAGGAGAGAAGCAGAGGGAAGCCCAGGATGGGCAGGGCCCCGGGTGGAGGTGGTGCTGAGCAAAGCCCTGGAGGATGGGCAGGATCGGGGTGAGCTGAGAAGGAGGCAGAGGATCCACTGGAGCAGAGGTAGAGAGGCTGGCATGCACGCGCCAGGCTGGGCAGGCAGGAGTATGGCCCAGTGCGGGGACCGGGCAGAACCCACCGAGGAGGGGGAGCAGCTGTGTGTGTTCTCTGGACTAACCAGGCCCTGGTCCTCTCTGCATCCGAACTCGGGAACCCTGAGGGCAGGGCGGGTCTCCCTCTGGGCCTAGGCAAAAGGCTGGGCACCCACAGGGTGGCGGGCAGACCTGCTGGCAGGCAGGTCTCAGGCGAGGCCGCAGACAGGATTTGTCCCCCTAGCCTCCTGAGGCCACATGAAAGCCTGGGTTGGGCTCCCAGCCACCTCCCCTCACATTCCAGACCCTCCAGCTGGTGGCGGGCACCCGCCCTGGCACCATCCCTCTGCCTCTCCCTGCCCCCTCACAGCCACAGGACATGCTGAAATACACCTTTTCCTTCCTCCAGCTGGGGCAGGGCGGGGCCCGGGTCCAGAATAGAGCAGATCAGAGGGAGGCTGCAGCCACAATGGGCCATTCAGGCTGAACTCGGCCCCCGAGGATGCCAGGTTTCCTGACACACCTGGAAACCGGCCCCAAGCCGCCAAATCCTCTCTCCGCAGCGGCTGGAAGGGTAAGGGCCTCTAGAAACCGCCTCCCAACCCCATAATTACAGTCTCCTGAGACGCTGCTGGAGGAAGGGCCTCCAACAGAGGGCGTGTCCTCACCGTGGATGGGCCGGCCCCACCCTGCCGGGCCGGGCTGCCCTAGGGAGGGCACCCTCTGGGCCTTGGTTTCCCCAGCCAGGCAGCAATCGGGTGGCCCAGGCGCTCTGCCAGGCGCCTCCAGCCTGTGCTTCTAAAGCTGGGACCCTCGCCGGGCACTGCGTGTTCCCACAGGCTGCGTGCAACGTGGGTCTGAGAGCTCAGAGACTCCTTCCCCACGCCAGACTCTGGTTCCTCAATTAAAACTGAGAAAGGGCTGTGGGCTGCTGACTGTCTGAGGCTACTCCTACGTGGTTGCCTCAGCCCCACAGGCCGGCGCCTCCTGGACACCCTCTCCCAGGCGGCCACACGTTACTCTCTCTGGCCAGGTCCCCCCAAATGTGTTGTCTCCTGTGGAGCCTCCATCACTGTCCTCACTGGACAATCCAGCCAGGACATGGGCCCCGGTCAGATGGCCACCAGTGAGCCCCAAAGCTGCTCTCTGGGAAAGCCTGTTGTACCCCATCACTCAGGCTCCCCCATACACTGCTTCCCCTCACAGCCCTCCAGTCACTGAGTCCTGTCCATTCTGCATCCTAAACGTCCCTCCAGTCGCCCATCCCTCCCGCCCACTGCGGCTGGCCCGGTCCAGGCCTCCCTCTCCCTCCTCCTTATCAGTTTCCCAGGCCCCACACCCCGCCCCAGCTCTGGAGGGGACTTCCAAAAGGGAAATCGGATTCTGCCCTTGTCCCCTCATCACTTGAGCTTGCTCCCTGCGCCCTGACTGAGTCCCCCTGGGTGACAGGGCCTGGGAACGCTGCCTGGAGCCTGAGAACCGTGTTGCCCCTCAGCCTCTGGCCTTTCCCATTTCAGACTCCAGAGGATTCCCCCTTGATTACTCGCCCTGGCCTTAATCACCCCACCACAGAGGTGGGCACACACACACTCACACACACACTCACACACACACTCACACACACACAACACTGTGATGCAGGCATACAAGCACGCACAGATACGTGCGTGCGTGTGCAAGACCTCACACACGTGTACACAAGCTTTAGCACATGTGCACAATCTCACATATGCACACATACATGGACACTCATAACCTGGGACACACACAAAACTCATGCATCCCAAGAACACACATATGCAGGTAACATGAACGGCATTAAAACTCTGGTGGTGAAAGCATCAACCAAGTAGAAGATGGCTGTAAACACTGGTACATGCTCACTTGGTGAAAAACAGCCTAGCATGTGCATGTGCATGCTTGTGGTCTCATAACATGGACAGCACACACAATCACATGTGCACATACAGATATGCATGTACACAAACATGCTCATGCCCTCACACTCATGCTCATGGACATGCATATACTCATACCTTCACACACGCGCGCGCGTGCACACACACACACACACACACACACACACACACACACACACTCCCCTCTCCCGGGCATATCTATATGCACAGGGAGGCAGGGGAGGGAGCGGAAGGAGAGAGGAAGCCCCTGCCCAGAGAAGGCTCAGTCCCTATGGGGTGGTGGGCAGTGTCTTCACTTTGGCCACCGAAGTCTTACAATTGGGCAGTATCTGACCTCTGACCTGCAAAGAACAGATTCTAGGCCCGGAAAGGAAGGGAGACACAGACATCCTCCATGGACCTGTGGAGGCGGGGACAGAGCTAAGACCCAATCCTCTCCTCTCATGGATCAGCTCCTCTTCCCGCGTGGCTGGCCCAGTCAGGACACAGGCCCCAGGCACAGACTGGCTGCCAGCAAGCTGCCGTGCTGGCTGGCACACCTCGCCCCTGGGCCTGCCAACCTGTAATTGCAGGGACTGGCTTCAGGGCACAAGGGCACCACCTGTTTCCCAGGGGCCAGCAGCAACCCGCAGCCTGATAGGCAGGCAGGTGGGGCGTGAGACTGTGGGCTCTCCAGGTGGGCTCTGCTGACCATCCAAGAAGAGACACCTGCTAGATTTTGGCAGGGAAGTGGGGCCTTCGGAGGAAGGGCCGGTGGGTCTCTGCAGTCCCTCTGAGGAAGCCCCTGGCAGGTCTGGTTGCTCCAGCCCAAGATGCAAGAGGAAAGGGGCTTATTCACGAAGCCCCTCAAGGGCTAAATTGTAAGAGATACACACACCCTCACCCCCCGCCGATCTTGAGCACCGGCATGGCCCAGCTAATCTGGCCCCACCACCACGGGCCAGAGAGAAAAACCCTTAGCTGACCCTGACTACGGCTGTGGTGGGCACTCGTCCGGGCACATCCTCGCCAGCCACTTAACAAGCCCCTCCCCCCGTGGGCACAAGTCTCCCCCGTGGGCATCCCTGGTCCTTGCTCAGGAGTCCTCAAAGCTCAGGACAGAATGTATGGAAAGGCCTCGGGCACTGCCAAGCTGGCTCTGTCCTGGGTGGTGGTGGACACATCCCTCCTTGGGCAAGTAGGGAACTCGGAGCCATGATCTAGTTTGGACTGGAAGGGGCCTCACAGGTCACCTGGGGCAGCTCCTGTGTGAAGATGGAAGGCTGACATTGCAACACGGACTTCCCTTCCCCCGAAAGGAAAAAATAGTAACTCAGAAAAATGTTGTTTTTCACGAAAGAACAAAACTTCATGAGACAAACATTAAGTATTGGCAGACAGGGGGAAAAACAAACACAATTCTGAACTAGAGTAGAGCGTAGAGTTCTCCAAAATCCCCTTATGGGAGGGAAATAGCAGAAGGATCCTAAGTCCCTGCTCTTGGCTGAGAACCAAAGGCAAAGGCTGCTGGGGGGGGGGGGGGGTGGAGCGGGGAGAGGTGGGGAGTAAAAGTGGAGAAAGTGAACAATGGCTCCAGTGACTGACTCCACTCAAGGCCAGAGCACAGCCTCATCCCTGAAGGGGACGCACCCAGTAATTAGGTAGAATGTGGTAGAGCATTTCCTAAATCCCAGAGGAGAGCAGGGAGCCCAGGTGTTGGAACAAAGGCTCCTCAGGTTTCACCTGAGCCCTGCAATTCCCTCAGGTGACAGAAAACCTAATGCTCCATGCCAACTGCTTGGAGAAGAGAATGC